AGCCGAGGACCTTTACCCAGCTACGCTTGTAGGGGCTTTGGGCTCCTTGACCGCAGTGTATATGAGCACTTTGACTGCCAATGTGGCAGTGAACTCTGCTTTGCCGTTGGGTGCAGTCATGGGGGTGTTCTCGATGGCGACGCAGTTCGGATCATTAGTGGGCCCGCCAATATTCTCGGCGATGTTTTTGGCCTCGCTACGAAAGATCTTCTGGGGTCATCCCTTCCCGCAGCTGGCATTCTGTTTCGGTATCGCGGTGAGCTTCGTGATCGTCCGGCTGGTGCAGACAATACCCGAGTCTGCCTACGAGGGCGGACCGCCCATGCCTAGTGAGGTGGCAAAAGATCAAGACGAAACATCCCCATGATAGGGGCACAGACACAAAGAGAGGGCCGCATTCCCTGAGCGCCTAGCCGCCTCGCCGCCTAGCCACAAGTGCGAAGTGCCACAAGCGCAAGGAAGTGCAAGGATATGCAAGGATGTGCCAAAGAAAACACTTCCGAGTGTGTGTTTGAAATCCATCTCTGTGACTATGGCAAGGGGACTTGGTCTGCAGCTCCGCAGGGCGTCCTGTCTAGAGCCTAAGCCTTGGAACTCCTAAGAACTCCCAAGGAAGCCGGAAGGTGTTGGAGACTGACAGACCGTGGTAGTGACGTGGTTCTGGACAGCTCGGTGCTGTGTTGCCTTCCGATCTTGCAGGATGACAACGGGCGAAGCTGGGGTGGGAGGCACGTTCCCGCTAAGCTTGCTTGGGGGCGTTGGTTTGCTTAGCGGTAAAAGCGTAAAACAGAAATTTCGCTTTCCCCGCATTTTACCGCTTTCGTTCCCTTGCTCTCTTGTTTTGGGCTGCACGGGCCCAGCATAAGAGCGTAAAAGCGTAAAACCGAAATCCTTAACTTGGATTGCGCAGGCCCTGCGCAAATATGTAAAAGCGTAAAACCGGAATTCGTTCTTCGCGTTTTGCCGTTTTCGTCCGTTTCCTCCTTCGTTGTGGGTCAGTCTGGCCCGCGCGTAAGCGAAACAGCTCGACATTCGCGGTCTGCCGTGCCTCCGCGTGTAAAGCGTAACTGCGTAAAAGCGCTATGGTGGCATAAAAGCGTAAAAGGTAGCGCCTGCTTGTTTTTTCGCATACTTTCGGTTGCTACCAGCACATCCATTGGCCCGAGCATACATGCTCGAACGTGATAACGTCCGTGCTACCAGCGCATGCATTGGCCCGAGCATCCAGGCTCGAACGTAACAATGTCCATGTTACCAGCGCATCCATTGGCGCGACTGCAGAACGGTGCGCAGTTTCACCGTTTTGTAGTCGGATTTTGTTTTGACACTCTGAGCGTTCTTGCGCTGATTTTTACCGTTTTAAGCTTTTTCCCCTCGTGTTTTATACACTTCTATTACCGTTTTCTCACTGGCTTTTACCATTTTACCATTTTACCGTTTTCGATTTGTTGTTTTTAACACTTTTATAGTTGTTCACTGTTTTTTTCGTTTACCATTTGACATTTTTCGGTCGGCATGCTGCTTTTGCACTTTTATTACCGCTTTTCGCTGCTTTATACGGTTTTACCGTGTGCTGTCGACTGTTTCCCCCCCCATTTTACCCTATTACCACGTGCGCCGGTTACATTATTTTACCCTTTTACCGCTTTCCCCCGAGTGGCCTGCCCACTCAAGCTACCCGCCGCTTTGGTTTTACATTTTTACCGGTTTACTTCCCCGCGCTTGAGATGTATGAGCACCTACAGTTGTCTACGGCATTTGCTGAGAAACCCCCCCCAAAAAAAAAGAAGCAAGGATTCTTCCTTAAACCCTCAATATAGGAATCTTTTTCTTTTGGGGGGGGGGGGGGATGGTCTTAAGAAGCAAATAGTAGCTGTGTGCAGGCCCTTATGGACGAGCCAGACCCCCCGGTGAACCGGGAGTAGCTCTTCGAAGTCATCGACGCCGCGTGGCCCCTTGGATATCCTCCTCTTTTTGCTACATAGCATATATATATATATATGGGTGGTTGGTCTATATTACCCTAGCTATAAGGAATATGCCTATCACATAGACCCCAAAAGGGCCCATCATGTTGATCAACCCCTCATGTAGAAGCAGGCATGAAGGTCGGCGCTGGCATAGACATACCTTGTGGTGGAATTGGCAGTGTTGAGGGACCAGGTTGTTGTTGAAGGGTCATTGGACTCACCGCGACTGCTGAGTGCTCCACGGAAACACCGGCTGCTGCATGGGTTGTCGTAGGTGAGGCTTCTAGCAATGTGCTTGCACCAACAAAACCACCTAAACCCGAGACACCAACTTCGCTCGTCGCGGCGTTCGCACCGGTTCCGGCTGTCGTTGGCTGTTCCAGTCCGGTTATCGTTGCATCAAAAGCTGCTCCATTGCCACCAGATCGGTGGGAGTCATGAACCGGAGCTGAACTCGGGGTTCTGGTTGATGACTCCCAGCGACCACACCATTCAACAGTCTTGCATCAGAGGTATCAGGCAATGCTCGCTCACCGGCAAGCGCTGTCTCCTGCGCTGAGTCATAAGGTGGCCCACTGTGTTCACCTTCATGTCTAGCCCAAGGCTTGGGCTCATAACCTGACGATCACCGAAGTGACCGCCAGGTTCAGGCCTCTCACCTAAACCTGGGGAAGGGTCAACTGACATCGGCGATCCAAAGTTCAAATCAAAGATCATGGCATCGGATGCTGAATCTAGTTTTTCCGTTCCAAGCAAACAAACTGCTGTTGTTGTTGCTGCTGTTGCGACAGCTGCAGCAGGAGGGCTCTCACAAGGGTTTAGGGCTTCTCGCCGCGCCGCGGCAGTAGATTCTATGCAGAGATGGCGCCCCTACACACAGGGGCTGTCAGGGGGTGGCGTATCTTGCGATGACGTGTTTTCAATTTCGACACCGACCAGAAAGGTTTGGTTGGTCTATTTTTCTCACCCCCTGCTTACGCAGGCATCCACTTTTCTCCTTTAAGGGTTTCGCGCGAACGCCCTAAATTCCCACTTCCGGTCCCTATCCAATCAGAAGGGTGTAGGGAAGGTACCCAGAGGGGAGCGGGGGGCTGTCGGGGGGGGGGGGGCCCGGGGTGAAACACTGATGTTACACATCCAGGTGCATGTCCTGTCTCACAGTCAACATGCATGTTTGCTTGCTTGCTGCTCAAGGTTCTAGCATCATACTTGGAGATACGTGGGGTGGATTGTCTGGGATGTTAGTGCAGATCATTGGTCTGATTTCGATCTTTGCCGCTTGTATGGCACTGACATTCTGGCTGCGCGCTCGTGACGCGTGTGCTTGTTTGGAAGTTGAGTTTTGATTTTGGAGCGAAAACGTCAGAGGAATTGCAAGCGCTCTACTTCCTGTTCTTTGCATTTGGCCTGGTGGACCTATGTCTTAGCACGGGGCTTTTCTTCGGCACACTGCAGCTTGGCTGGCAAAGTGTAGTTTAAAGGTGGCACGAGCAGGTGCGGCCAGCAGGTTACATGGCTTGGTGATTTTACCAGTGTTCGCGAGGTGTGCGTAGAGGGATTGGCTGTAGTTCCGCTGCTGAACTTGTTCTCGTTATGCTTGTAAGCATAGGCAGAACAGAACCGGCGGGCTTCACGCACTGTAAGTTCTCAGACAAGGCCAGCACACTTGAAGGTGTTGTGCAGGAGGTGTTTGAATTAATAACTAAGTAGTTGAAGCAGCGTCTTTGTGAGTAGTTCTACGTACAGGCAGTTCGAGCTGCGCTGTTATCAGGGCAGCATCTGCGTGAAAGCAACGAAGTGTGGAAACACAAAGCCCTGCAAAGACCAACCCGCAGCGAATTTAGACGTATGAGAGATGGAAAGCTTCTGACATCGGAAAGGTGCTCGAAGCTGCTCGACCATGAGCTAAACTCCTCCTTCGAATTGGAACTCGAATTTTTGAAACTCTGGAGGAGAGCACAAAAAATGCTCAAAGCAACTCAGCCATCTCCAGAACTCTGGAAGCACGCTGGAAACCCGGCAAACTAAAAGCTGTCGAACTGGAAGTCCACACGGCCTCGGCATTTTGAAGTTGAACAGCTGCCCGTAGTAAGCGGTATGCCCGATGCTGGTTACAGATTTAGGGCGGTTTCAGCGCCTCGAATGTTGCGCCAAGTTTGCGAACTCTCCATGACGGTTTGACCCAATTAAGCGCCAAGGAGGCTTCCAAGCTGCGCACCTTATGCTGACTTTGTGTCCCTTGTCCTTTGAGGTTGAGGTCCGTGGAGAGTTCGCTCCTCAGAGTCCTTTCTCTCGCTCCTGGATGCTTCCGTCATATTTTCCATGTACTATTTCTACATTGCGGAGATATCGTCAAATCGCAAGGATCCAAGCTTTTTTCTGGACGCGCAGAGTGGTGTCCTTCTCACCTCAGCATCCTTGGCGCTTCTGGGTCTGGGTGTGCCTTGGCTAACATGTGACCTTGGAAGCTTCTTCGCGTGACTGCAGCTTTCTGGAGCCTGGCCTTCTAATGTGGAGGGATCTACGGGCACAAGAAGCTGGTGGTCTATCCGGCAATGCACAGGCTGCAGTGCTCTACGGTTCGATGAGTTCTACGAAGGATGCTGATGGAGGCCAAGATGCTCCAATATGATGACACCCTGAGATGCCGTGGGTCACATGCCGCAGCAACATAATCTTCACTTATCTCTGCAGCAGGTCAGAGCTTAACAGACCCTTTCCTCCTGGATCTTTGCTCAGCTTTTCACATACACATGATGTTTGACGTGGTCAGATCAAGGGGTAGACATGTCCATACAGTCCATACAGACACAGCCGTTTGCAACAGGAGCCTGCCTAAAGCGCAGATGCTGGATTGTCATTGCGTGGCCTACGAGATCCGAGTGAGTGCGGTTTACCGCGATCTGGCCAGATGTCGGGTCAAAAGCACGGGGCAATCTGATGACATTCTTGCAAGTTCTTGTGCAATCTTGTGCACCCAATCTTCATTGGCTAGACAACGAAACCATGCCTTGTTTCTCTTAGCTTGAGGCCAAGGGATCACAGCACGAGTCATGACCCGCAAGGACTCCCATGCTGTGTTGCGTGTTTCAGTGTGTCAAGAGACGTAATAGCAACCGGCCGGAAGCTGCGGTGCATGCAGGCTCTCCGGAGTTTGGCGCAGGCCCGTCTTGCATTCGACTCACTGGACCATGCAAACAGCTGGGGATTGGGAAAATCGCCCGGCATCGCATTTCAAGTGGCTCAATGAAAGCCTTACGCACACGCACGACGCGATAATTCTTTCATTGTGAGGTTGAGGGTTGTAGAGTTTATTTCTGAGAGCCAGAGGCGGTTCTTAATGCATTCGAATTTCGCCAGATCCAGCAAAGCAATGGCATGAGCTATGGACGTGGATGATTTGCTGGACATTCTCGAGGATGCCATCGCTGTGGACTCTGTGCAGTCAAGAGCAGAGGCTCATATTATCGATGCTGCTGCCGCACGCTCAGATGCTCTGCGCTTGTGTATGGCAGGCTTTCCTCATTTCGAAGTTGCCGCGGCCCGACTGCACCTTTCTTGGCCACTTCTGCTGCCATTGCTGGCAGTCCTTTGGGTCCGGCTTGGTTCCCTAGATAAGTAGCCAGAGGGAGTCGAGAGTTGAAGAGGTCTTCGTTGTGAGCTCAGTCCATATTGGAAGTGTCCGTTGCTTCTTACAGTCTCCAGAGGGTGGCCACTCTCTGATTGCAGAGTGCACCATATGCCCGAGGGCTCTCTTGGATTTTCTTTTGACGGAAAGCGGAAAGCAGGTCTCAGCGTGGGGCCTGAAGAGGCCTCGACGCACGCGATGCTGAAGTACCATTCGGGGAGGGAAGAACACGTACCAATGTCGCAAACGGTTTGGGGAAGAGGGCCTCCATGGCGTTTTGCTGACCGGGAGACATGCTTTGTGCTTTCGTCCACAACTTGAACCCAAAGTGATTCTTTAGGTTGTTCTCTGCCTGGAAATGGTGTGCCAGCAGGTCAGAAAGGGTGTTCGATGCTGCTGGGGCGTTACATGGGATCTCTTGATCTGCTGAGGCTCTTCCAAGGCCTTCTCCAAGGCCAGCCGACGGGGGCTCCAGAGTCCCAGGACGGGCTGCGTCTTTGATCGCGATGGCGGGGAAGATGTGGATGATGGGAGATGTGAGACGATGTGAGCATGAGCAAAGGAGCAGCGCCTGGAGTGGCATGAGGCTTATCGAGAGTATGTGACCCTGATGGAGGACCGTGGACGGTGACCGGCTGAAGAGTCCATAGATGGATGCCAGTCGTGAGAAGTTATGTCAGGAGCTTGTCCTTTCGGCATGCGCGGCCCAAGCTAATGTGACGCGGGAGGTGCCTGGGTCGGGGCGGTTGACCTGGACGTGGTGGGTAGTTTCTGTGCGTGTTGAGCATACCGCCCCATTTCTGACGCAGGCGGTCCTGGCTCAGCTTGCAGAGGTCGCAGCAGCCGGCGAGGCGCTGCATGTCTGTGCAGCATGTCATTGAGCCTTGGTGCCTAGAGCCGTTTAACATCTAAAAGGGGCCTTTCCCGACTGCATGGGGAAAGCAAGGCCGGCCTCGGCCCCCGTAACGTGAACACTCTAGGCCACGCTTATGTTGTACAAAATCCTCACAGAGCCCGCCCAAACCGACGGGGCTCCACCCGTCTGGCATGTGCTTGCCACTCATGCTCGCCCGATGCGTGGGTGTGTCGCAAGCCTTATTATCCTTGGTGTAGGGGGAGGCCGGGGCTCCAGTCTCTCCAAAGTCCGTTGCCGTTGTGAGTAGATTCCCGGTAATGAAAGCCACGTGCAGACACAAACCCGATACACTTGGAATCCTGCATCGTCCTGATTATGCAATTCAAGCCTTGATTTCTGCATCGGGGTTTCTTCGCTTCTTGCTGACCCCAATTTTTCCGAGTTTCTCCCGGGTGTTCTGAAGAGTCGGTGTTCCGAAGCTCGCTATTTCATCTGTTGGATGATTGGCTGACCTTTGCTGGAGGTGAGGCCAGAAAGGGACAGTGGGTAGAAAAACGTGCATGCTTCTTGAGACCAAGCAGAAGTGTTGAGCTCCTCGATATGTGATCCGATGCCTGTCCGAAGGCTGCAGACCGGAAGCATGCGCGGTTCCTGTCGCTTGCTTTGCATTGAAGACATGAGAAGCTCATCAGAATCTTGAGGTTCTTGAGGTTACCAGGAGCCGGGACACAGTGCATGTCCGTCTCGAGGCTGAGCATGTTCGAGTATGGCAGTTGCTCGGCCAGCCATTCGTAGGAGAAGGTGGCAAGTGACGAATGGTGACACCTTTGATGACAAAGCTCAATGATTCCTGGGCCTTGCGCTTTGAGACCCAGGCTTCCTGACAATGATGCAGGCGACCTCTGGGAAACAAGTCGAGTTGTTTAGGGGTTTGATTCAGTTTGAACCTACGTCGGGCAGCTGGTTTTTTTTAATGATTGCAAGGAGTTGCTCCAACGGCAGCAGCGTGGACTGTCCTTGGACTTCGGATCTCGACCTGCCAAGGCTCGTTTTGAAAGATTTCGTCGAACGGTGGATCTGTAGTTTCGCGCATTTCTGCGCTTTGAGTCTTCTCTACAGCAGGCCAGTGCAGATGTGACATCTGCGATCGGCGGCTACAATGCCCCATGAGCTCCGAGTTCGTGCTATGAGAGCTGCCTGTACAGCCTGCAGCGAGACTACTTTGTAGCCGGGATTCATGACATGACTGGCCCAGCGAGGGCAGATTGCCAATGACAGACAGCACAAAAATCCTGATGAAACTTGCATGGACAGCAGTTGGTTGCCAGCAGTGTGTCGGTCCATGTTGTTTGCATGGCATATCCATTGTGAAAGCCTTCGATAGCTGATATGCCTCGACATACTTGCAGCAGGTGGCTGAAATCCCTGTGATCAATGCTCTGGACGATTATGCGTGCGCCATCACGGGATGTGCAAGAACAACATACTACGTATGTCTTTCTGCTCCTCTGCACTGCTTGAGCAGAGGCACCCGCTGCAGATGCTTGCGGACCTTTTGACCGTGCTCGAATACAAGGCTTGCCTCTCGAATGAGTCTGGCATCGTTTGCTGTTGAAGCACAGTCTCTGACAGGGTTCCTTCGCAAACTTCACAATGACTTACATGGGCGATTTGGAGAACAACGTTTCCTGCCAAGACGTTCCAAGAAGTCAGCTTCATGTGTTACCCTGGCAAGTTCGCAGCTTCTCAGGTGACTTATGACTTGATGCGCCGCTGGCTTGGAGTAGTTATGCCGGTGACAGCTCTGCGTGGAGCAGTGGCTTGCATTATCACCTGAGGTACTGCGGCGCTGATGGGGTACAATCTGAATTTGGCACTTTCCTCAACAGGCATGTAGTTGATTCAGTCAGACGGTCTGAGACTTGTTTGCAGAAGTTCATCTGATTGGCTAAGGGTGGACAGGGTGACATTGAGAAGTCCGCCACGACCTTGAAAACCTTCGATCTACCATGTTGTGTTGCGTACGAGACCATGCGTTGAAGCAGCAGCCCCAGACCATGGCTGAAACACATGCTGCAAGGGTCGACTATACGTTTCTCGTTTCCTGTTATCTCCCAAGGAAACGTGTAGTGGGAGTGGTGGCTGGGGAGTGCATGTCGGGCGCGGGGATAAAGCTTCGAGCAAAGCTTTGTGCCAGCCACATCATCGGCGCAGGGGCAAACGCTGTAACGAGAACCAGGGGGGGCGGGGTTTGTTACCGGGCAATGCCTTGGGCCAGTCCATCTCGGTCCCCTTGTTTTGAGCAGGCATCCGGGGCTTCTGCTGGATGAATCGGGAGTGCGACGGAGAAAACAGTTTGGAACAGAGAAGCTGTGACGAAACAGAGTAGCTTTAACGAGCTGGTGCTGGTCTAATTTTGTTTGTTGGCCCCTTTTTTCCGGGTATGTGGTGGTTGCTTCGGCAACAAGGTTTCAATCATGGTGGTCCCATGTGGTCCCTGGTTTCTGTTACACCCACCACTCCCACCAATTAAGGTCTGGGACGAAGTGAACGCGTTGGCGAAGGTCTCGGGGCGGCCACCTTGGCGGGAATGCCGAGCCCTGTGACCGACTGAGCGCCTCGGGGGCACACTCAGGTCCAAAGTGAAAGTCTGCGCAACAGCCGCCGAGGCCCTTCGGATCCGTTCTTCTTGGTAACTGGGACCCTTCATACATACTGGTATATATATATATATATTATATGTGCACCGCAAGTTGACTCAACGATCAGATCTCCCTTCCTTACAGCCTGTGGGTGTTATGAGGATTGAGTTTGAACCCAGCATGAAACTGCCAAGCGAGACACATCTTGTGACCGCAGTGTCTTGGCAGGCAATGACAGGCGTAGATTGTGTGTACACAGACAGTTGGATGAGCCTGCAGCTCAGCGACCGTTTGCTCGCGATTTAGTTTAGCAGATGAACGTCACGAGCGATTTGGCGGAGGCTATGGGATTGCGAAAGAGGAGGAAGAGGCCCGAATGAAGCTCTTCATGCCGTACCAGGTGGGATTTCGATGGCTTTCAGAGAGCGCTCCAGTGTCTGGTTGACGTAGAACTCGCCAAATGCATCTTTTGCTGCTCCTCACTGACCAAGTGATGCCCGTGATGTCGACGGGGCGAGTTTGAGAGGCACTTGGATAATTTTAAAAGTTCACCGCCAGTCCCCGCGGCCAGGCCACTAGCCTATACTGAAGTCCGAAAACATCATCCAGCCTTGTCATGTGCTGGCGAGCGCGAGACATGCTCGGGGCAAGTGACTCCAAGTGACCGCGTGACCTCCCCATCTTTCAGCTTCGGAGCAAGGCTTGCCCGAAGTAATGCAGAAACTTGGGGCCCAAAACAAGAACCAATCCAGACTGCAAACTCTGGGACGAACGTTTTCCAGGACCGGAAGCTCTGGGACTTCCAGGGACTTCCCTAAGCCCTTTCTCTGGACCACTGGAGCTTTTCGGGATCTTAGGCTTCTCGCTTCTCTCGCTCTCCGTGGTGTCGGATGTGCCAGTCACTCTTTTTTGTTCATTTTTAGCCGGTTTGCTTTCAAAGAGAGCAAGCGATGGATTCGGCAGGGGGTGTTGTGGGGGCAAGATCGTGGTGTTCTCTGCTAGTCAAGGCTGTTGCATGTGCTTCCAGACTGTCGGCCCCTCCTACACGCTTCTGCAGGTTACAGCAGATCTTATGAAACTTGCAAAGCCAGACTGCATCTTCATGAACTGTGCGAGCCACAGACTGTTTGCTCAACAGAACCCCATTGAAACGGCTTCGACTGCATTCCAAGGCTTGCCAGCGGCTCGAGGCATGGAGCAAACAGCCGAAGTGATCGATGGACCCCAGTCGGGCTTCCAGTTTCAGTTTGACACGCTGGCCGGACATGTAGAATGTGCAACAGATTTGCAAAGCCTGCTTGGATACAGTGCTGGAAAGGTCGGTGGTCTTCGACCAGGCGGAGAACCGACTTCATGCAATGAAGGCTCCGCATTCTTCAGTCAGTCATTCGCGCTCCCTTTTCTGTATAGCACTCCGTGGCATGCCTTGAGGCCTTGGCCGTCTTCCTCATGGCGCCCAAGCGATTTTCAGAAATCATGGGCCTCGGCAGGCCTGGCCAAAGCCACCGCACTAGTCTTCCTTCTTCACTGAGGGCTCACTTTTCCACCCTGCCTGGCTTTTCAGGTCTGCTCCAAGTCAAGCAAAGTGAATGCTGTCTGTAAGCTAGCAAGGTTGATGAATGGTTCGTGACAATCGTAATGCAATTTTTTGTAATGAATGCGCAGCTGATCAGCCAGTCGAAAACTACGCTAGCGCTTCAGAGTAGTTGGCATCAGTATGCCTCAGTCGTGATCAGCTGCCATGAGACTTTGGTTCTCCAAGCAACTTGCTGGAAGGACAACTTTACCCCTTTAATCTTGGTTTTCGGTATCTCTTGCACAGTGCCTGGAGGGCACTGCCAACAGGCATTTGTTAGGTCAAGCCAGACAGCCAGCTCAGAGCTAGTGGATTCGCAGCTTTTGGTATTCGAAGGCAGCTTTACAGCTCACGAGTTGCGATCACCAGAGCGTTTCTGGGTGCTCTGACCTGGAACCATGACCTCATAGTTGTGTTGGCTTGAGCAGCGTCGCTCCGTCCAAGCAAAAGTTGCATGTCACGCTTGCCCGCATGGAACAGAAGCGGTTTCGAGATTGTTCAGAGCACATGCCCACTTGTCTTCCCTTAGCTCCTTTCGAGCCTCGCACCTCGCACCTCGTGCCTTTGCACATTCATGTGCGTTTTAACGTAAAGCAAAATGCTTGCACCTTGTGGGGTACGATTAAGGTTTGCATTTCCACTCACACCGCCGTGGGCATCACTGAAGATTCCCACTGCGACTGTGGGACGGGTGGGCGCAGTACGCGCTTGCTGGCTCACGTGGTCGGGCGTGGGAGAATTGGGAACGGCCCAAAACGCTAGGCTTGTAACAGGCCCCCGGGCGGGCACGGTGCGACAAAGGGTTTGGAACAAAAACCGGTTCTTGCGACAAGCCTTGCGCGACAAGGCTTGCGACAAGGGGCGTTTTCTAGAAGGCCACGCGACAAAGGTTTGAAACATAGCTGGCGCGACAAGGGGCACGACAAGGGTTTGTAACAAGATGGGGGCCGCCCCCCCGCGACAAGGGGGGTTATTGGGCCAAGCCCAATTCTGTGCACACGACCAGGCTATTCCATCAAAACCGTTGTTCCCTCACTCCGCTCCGTGCACCGTAGCCCAAGGTGATTGCACTTCAAGCTTTGCACTTTTTCCTCTCACCTGTTGCTTCTTTCGCGTGTCGTGGCACATAGACGAGTCACCGTCTGCGGCTACAGCATCCCCGGGCAGGGCATCCACCCTGGGGCAGCCCTTGTTCTCGGAGAACTTCGCCGACGCCACGCCGGGGAAGCGGGCCAGCGGCCCTCTCTGTCCGTGACATGGGGCTTTGTCGGGGGTTGGTGCGCTCAGCGGTCACCTGTGTGCATGATTTATTATAACCCCTGCTGTGATCGTGGGTTGGGCGCGTGCAAGAGTGGGCACATGCCACCCCCCGCGTTCGGGCATCTTGCAAGGAGACGTTTCCGCACTGTGCTCCGTCCGCGTCGTTTTGCGTATGTGGAGGAACACGTTGTTGCTTCAACTATGCGCGGGCGTCACTTAACGTTCCCACTGCGATTGTGGGTTGGGTGGGCGCAAAAGTGCGCGCTTGCCGGCTCACGTGGGCGAGTCGGGTGCGCGCGAGTCTTGAACACGACCTGCTATGCCATCGAAACAGGCATTCCCTGATCACGTTTCGGGCACACTTTGGCGGATGTTGAGCGATGCGGCTGGACACGTTCATGAGCAGGACGTTTACGTTATCTCCGAGTCGGCTTATGGACTTCGAGGACATGCGTAGCAGTTGTCGGCAGCAATCGCAGAGATGAGCAATACTTGCCGCGAGGAGACCAGAAGCCGTTGCACTTCAGCAGGCCAACTGTCGAGAAAGTTTTTGTTGCCGATCTGGACGGCGCAGACTTGAAATGAAAATCTCGGCAGGCAACGTGCTCGCTTCAAGACTTTTCTACCTCAAATTGAGCACGTTGCTGCCTTAGCTCGACAGAGAGATACTGGAAGGTTTTCCTGAATGTGACTGCATGAGCCTAGATTCTTCTGGACAACTGCACAAAATACTCTGCGGCCATTGCAAAGATGCGGCGGGTGTTGGAAACTTACGAAATAACTGGGCTGCTGGCTAATTCTCATGAAGTTTGCTGGATAGGACAAACAAGGGCAAGAAGAAAGGTGGCGTGCCGCTCCTGGTACACGCAGTCTCGGGTTTTGCTTACCTTGCCACTGCTCTTTGTCAGACGATGTTTTCTGCAGAGAGCATCCAGCGCATCTGCGTGCTGAAAACACTCATTCAGAGGCGGGGGATGGTGCTGTTGAGAAGACTTGCTGTCGTTTCATTCTGTCCTCCGGTTCCAACTCCAGGCGACCAGAAATTCCCGATGATGCACTCCTGATATTCTCTGATTTGGACGAGGCGTCCAGAGCCGTTGGCACCGCTTGCGTTTTCGCATTGGAAGCTTGGCCAGGTACCTTCGGCGCAGGCGCCGGTTGATTGTCCGAAGATCTTATGGCAAATGCTGTAGGCGGTTGAATGTCTACTTTCTGTAGTTCGCCAGTTTGAGTTCACGGAAGTGAAGCGAAACCGAGTGCGTGAACAAGTGGCATCAAGTGACAATGTGAGAAGTACAAGTAACCCAACGACGCCCTGAAGGGTGTCGGGTTGAGGATGCAGGGATGTGTATGGGTTGACGGTGAAGGTCCAGGATTTAAGCCATTTTGGTTGCAAGAGCTCACGAGCTGTTGCTGAGCTGCTTGCGCAGACCTTGAGTATTAGCAGCAGGCTCGGTTGAGTTGTCACGGTTCCAGCATGTTCCAGCTTAGTGGCATTCCAATTGAACTTGGTTGTGGGTTTGGCAGTCTCTTGGTACAGCACCTCCTAGACTTGTGCGACGTTGTTTCATCACTTCATTTCGGTTCTGGCATGCTTGCATCTTCTGATCGTTCCCATGCCATGGTCTCGTGGTGTCGTGACAGAACACATGTCTCGACAAACATCGCAAGAGTTGAGCAAATTTCAAGACTTCAGTGTTTTGATCTGGTGCATGTCGGAAAATGGGCATTCTGCTCTGGACCATCCTTTACATCAGCCAGTTTACAGCAGAGCCTTCGGACTGTTCGGCTTTACTCGAAGCAGTTCCAAAATCCTGCTTGGTGCTGTGGAGTTGGCTGGCCTTGATGGCCTTGGCCAGGCCATTCAGATGTTGAGGCTTTGCAAGACCAAGCCCAGTGCAAAGGCCGCCATGGAAGGGACCTAAACTGTAAGCCCTAAGCCTAAGCTTGGCAATGTTTGATTTCTACAGTCTTTGGGCACCTTCGGCAGGATGGCCCATGGATCCAAGCGCACTACCCCTTGCCATACAACCTCCGCGCCGATCGCTTGGATCTTTCGGTCTTGAGAGCCAATGCTGCGAAGCCATGGCTCCCGCATCTTCGTCTTCTTGACCAGGTGGGCTGCAAGCCACGGAAGCAGTCGGAGTCTCCGCCACAGCACAGAGACGAACTGCTTGGACAAGTCGAATCGCAGACCTGTCTCAGGTTGCACTACCAAGGTGTGCCAAGCTCAGGATGTGGGTCGTCATTGTGTGTTAGCGTCGGAAGCCAAGTTACACAGGTCTTCACGACGATGGGCTACTTGCGCAGGAAGAAGGGCCTGGCACTGCGGCAAGCCTTCGAACGCCTTCCGCATTCAATTGTATGCTTCATGTCTGCTTCGGTGTCGAGGTACAACATGAGGAGGAACTTGGTTGTGTGTGACCCTTGGCTCTGTTCCTTGAGAAGTGCCAACCTCAGGCATCGCATCTGAGGCCAAGAGCGGGCATTCACCTGACTTATGTTGGCTGGATTCTGAGCGATTCTGAGAGATGCTGAGCTTCAGTCCCACTGAACCACCCAAGGCTCCCGTGCCGACGTGGACTACAAGCTTTTGCATCACGGTCGCGGATTCGGACAATGTTGACTCTGATAGCTACATGCAGCGGGCACACGTTTCCTACAGCCTGTACAATGTACCAGCCACAATCCCTTGAGTCAGGTGAAAGTGGTCAGGCAGGTTGCCTATTGAGTTTCAGTTTCCGCCAGTCATCATGAGCATGACGTTCACAATATGGCAAGAAACTGCCGGAGCCTACCTGAGCTTGTCTGTGTCGATTAGCTTTAATGGATCGAAGCACGGTGCTGCTCCAACGTCAGCCTGCTGGCCTTCTGGCATCAGCTGCGCGTCGCGATGGGGTCGATGGAGGAGATGGCACCGATTGACTCGAAGGGCTCGGAAGGTCCAAACGGTCCAAATGGTGGCATTGCACCACCCCCTGTGACCCAGCGTGAGCTTCGGCAGCTTGGCTTGACGAAACTCTCTGATGCAGAGGCATTCGCCCAGCTTATCTTCCACTTGGGCTGCTTTGCCGTTTGTGCCATGGTGGTGTTATGGGCGTACGATCGGGGACACTGGGGTCTGCTGCTGGTGTCTTATATTCCCTTCGGAATTGTAGAGTCCTTCCTGTTCAATGGCTTTCACGAGTGTGTCCACAACACTGCTTTTGAAACGAAGATGCTGAACACAGTTTTTGCTCACTTGCTCGGGTTTGAGAACTTTCGGGGGGCGAAGTGGTTTTGGTGCTTCCACTGGTCGCACCACCGCTTTACAAACGACCCGGACATGGACCCAGAGCTGAGTGGAGAAAGCGTCGATTTGGATGATCCCACAAAGTCCTTGAAAGGATACCTGCAGTTTGTCAGTGGCTACCCGTTCGGTTTTGAGCGAGTCATGCGAATGGCACGCACAGCACTCTACAATGAAATTGATCCATGGGTTGCAGAGAAGCCTGTTGCCACACAGCAATTCGTTCGCATGGAGTCCGCCGCGTACCTCTGCGGTTATGGACTTCTTGCCGTTGCTGGACTTTTGCGGATGCGTGAGGTTGGCATGAAGCTGTTGCTTCTATGGCTCGTGCCGCATTGTGTCGGTGCTGGACATCTGCGGCTCTACCAATTTGCAGAACACAGGGCTTGTAAGATGGGCCGGTACACGGAAACCAATGCCTGGATTTGTGCTAGGACCACCTCAACTTGGTGGTTGTACAGGAAGCTGGCCTGGTACATGCCTTTTCATGCCTCCCGGCGAGCTGACATGTCTGTAGATGTGTGGGTCCTGTTTCGGTCCTGTTCTAGTTGCCTAAACCCAGGGACATCTTTCTCTTTTGTCGGGTCCTTGGTGAGTCGTGGCTTTAGCATGTTCATGCAAGGTCGAGCATCACGCCTTTCCCAACGTGCCCTTCCACAAGCTGGAGTATGCGCATGAGCTCGTCAAGGCAACTTACCAAAAGCAGGGCCTTGAAAGCGTTCCGACCGGCTGCGATCCACCCGGGTCTGATGGTTACGCGGGCCTGCACTGGATCATGTTCAAGCGCATGCTCAACAACACCTTTTCCAAAGAGAAGGCTGCCAAGGCAGCCTAATGCGAGGGCTCGCCATCACAAGTCCAGAGCCTTCAGTTCCCGCAGATCTAGCCAGTCTGACTGCGTCCGCAGATGTACAGAGATGCAAGGTTGTGTTGTCAGACCTTCACAGTCTCCTCTGTTTCCTGTAGAAAGGACTGGGAAACTGCCAAGTCGCGCCTTACATGTGAGTCCAAGACCATCATGACGCTCAAGTCTCACTTGTGTCATATAGCAGATGCAAGCTGGTGTGGACACACCGTGATCTGAGTACATGTGAAGTGCAATCTGCCTTTCGAGAGTGGGCCAAAATCGACTTGAGACTGCCGGAGGGCTTTGGCTTGCTGTGGGTCCTGAGGGCAGCTGCAGGTCCCCGGGCGACTTTTGCAGCCTTGGGCAGGTCCTTGCCACCAAGGCAACGGCCAACGGCAAGCGGCTGAACTTCTGCCAGGCCCGAAGCAGCACGATACTACTTGCAGTTATCTGCCGTGCGGCTTTACCATGCTTTACCAGTGGATTCCTGCAGTTGCTGCACCTGCCTTAGATTGATGACAAGACGCTGGCGTCGATGGAGCAGCTGTTGCGAGACAACCCCGCATCGTGGATTATTTGAGCTCTTCTGTCGGTCATGCCTCTTACCTCCATGCCCCCAGTTTAGTTGGAATGTATTGACAGCGAGCACGGTTCAACATGCCTTTTTTCTTGTCACAGCGCGAGCTCAGTCATACAGCTTTCAACCGTGTAGTGTCGCCACACTCCTCTATTCGGGCGTACATGGCGTCGTACTCCAAAGTGCAAAGGATGAGGTCCCGGAATTATTGAGGGTTTCAGCATTTAGGCTCGAGCTGCGCAGAGCTTAAGATCCTCCCAGATTGCCGAAGGCAGAAGGGCTCTGAGGCAATGGCTGCAGAACCTGTTAGCTCCTGGAGCACGTCAGACTGGCTGATCTTGTCACTGGCTCCATGGCTGACCTTCATAGTGGCCGGCTTTCCATTCGCAGTTGCTAGCGTACACTTCAAGAGCAACGACTGGCCTCTCTGGCACCTTGGATTCATCACGCTGGCAGGCTTCGGATGCCGCAACATGATTAATGCACTCGTGGCCTCTCGTGGACCCTGGCTCGTAGCACCGATGACGCTCACAGCCGCAAGTCTCATGATACCTGCTGCTGTATGGCCCGAAAGCGAAGCCGTTGTTCTAGTCTCGCTTTTTGGTGTCTGGACCTTGCACCCAGAGATGGCATTGCAAGCGCTATGCTACTCTCGTTTCATGGAGGACCACAGCAAGCTGCAAGAGGCTTCGCGCACGCAATCCTTGTGTGGTACAGTGGGCTACGCCCTGAGCCCATTCATTTCTGGGGTTGTCTTTGACTTCGGTGGCTGGCGCTTGACAGCTGCATGTCAGGCCGCTGCGGAAATTTGTTTGAACATGGTGGTTTGGACCAGCCCTTTAGTGCGCAAAGACTGGCAGAGGTGGAAGGAAACTGCAAAAGTAGATGTTCAGCCGGCGCTACGCAGAAGTGGTACGTTTTTGGGCAACCTGCCCAAGAGGGTATTAGTTCCCGGTCTCTTCGTCGCGCTGGCCAACTTTGGCAGCAACTGGTCTTACATGTGCGAGTGGATGACGTTTGCCATCTATTTCCGTGATGAACACAACTGGACCAATACCTCCGCAGCTGGCTTCTTCCAGATGATTGGGGATGTTGTTGGTGCATTTCTGCTGGTGGCAGCCGCAAAGCTGCGTGCACGGTATGGCAGAGATGATAGTTCCAGGATGTCATGCAGAATGTTTGACCATCCCCATCATCTCTCGTGGTTGCTCGCCTTGTGGTTCCTTCTGAACTTGGGCCTCACTATGTCCGACTTAATACTTGCTGTGATTTCACAGACAGTCATGGGCACCGTTTATGTCTTTTTCATTCAGTACGTGAACGAGATGAACATGTCCCTTGCCCAGGGCGACTCAGCAACATATCTATCCCTACAGTTTTTCAGCCAGGTCGGTTTTGGGATAGGAAACTCTGCAGGCGGATACGTGTCGCTGGCAATGTATGAGAGTCTTGGGCGATTGGTGCCATTTTATGTTGCCTCGGGCATATCCCTGTGCTGCATGCTGAGCTACGCATCATTTTTCATCCTGAGAGGACTCAGTCGTCCTGTGGAGGGACGGGGCATAGGCGTGCTGCCATGCGCGGAAGACCAGGAGCCTGAAGAAAGCCCGAAGATGTCCAGTGCATATGGCCAACCGGCTTGCACACAGCCAACAACATCACAGCCCCTGTGTTGCCGCACAAGGTGCATGTTGGGGTTGTGATGACCTCGTTGCACATCATGGAAAATGAAGAATGTTCTTGATTTTTTTTGGCACTCCTTGCTATGACAGTTCTTTGGGCTGCTCCGGTTATACGATGTGAAGCTTGAATGCTGCTTGCAAGAGCCACGTATCATCAGCACAGAGGTGCGCCGCGTTGCCCGATGGGGGGTATTCAGGGCGCACAATCCGAGGGTAAGCGTGCAGGTTTACTCTCGCTTGGGCAAGGTCAACAGAGAAAGCCAGCTAGATTTTGTTGAAGCCGCAATCCAAGAGTAATTTCGTCAAACTGTGCACTTAGTGGAAAGACATAGAGCAGTGCGCATCTCAGTGTTGCAGAAGATGGCGACTATAGAATCGCTGATTCAGGCTCCTTAACCTGATTTTCCTTTGCAACGCAAGATAATTCACACACCTAGGCCAAGTCATTTTCCGACCGAATGTCTCAACTTGATGAGATACGTACCGTCCGCTGCCATTCGGCAGAATATACGCACTCGTGCTTGGCAGAAAACATGTTTTTGCACCAGCTCTGTCTGCAGTGAGCGAGTCCTTTTTTTGTGTCTGCTCTGCTGATTGGGTCCCACATCAAGAATGGAATAGTAGAGGGTCCTTGGCATTCCGCAAGTGGCACACTTCATTGCAGGAATCACTGGGGATTGAGTGTTTCTGTTCTTGCCGTGTCTAGCAAGCGGGTCATCCATTTGTGTTGGTGCCCTCTCCGTGTCAGGCCTATACAACCGCAGCAATGCAAAGTGGCACACAGAATAGTTCTGCACAAACCCATTTTGGAACTTCAGGCTCCATACAGCCCCTATCAAAGATCATACCATTTCATGTACGATGCTTGGATCTAGGGCCTACAGCATTTGGGATGTTCTGCTTTGAGTCTACACATACATGCACAGATTCTTTTGGATCCTCACCGTCTTGGAACGTGTCGGAGTCCATAACACTGATCTTGCACCGTCCTGGACCCCCTGCGGTAGGGATCCTTCGGGACCCCAATGAAGGAACAGGGAGCCCCAAGGCCCGAAGCACGCCAAGAAAGAATCTTCTCGGAAGGCCTTCCGAAAAGTCACGGGAATCTTCGTGTATGGCCTTCGAAGCTCAAGCTTCCTGTCCATCCTGCTGTACGGTTCTACGGTAGTGTAGTGGCATACTACCGAAACGCATAACTTCGAAAACTTAATATGTTCTTAATTGTGGGTCCCCATGCTCTGGGCTATGTCGAGCATTGTTGCGATCCTGATCTGTCGAGGTATCGGTGGCACGGGCTTGGGAACGAGGCTGGTCTGTCTGAATCCTTACACTGTCACTCTCTTGACTTAGAAAAATGGCAAAAGGGCCAAGCGGCCAAAGCCTTCTGAAGGCAAGTCCTCGGTGCTGCGGAAAGAGCCTGTGGGTGATCTCTCGAAATGTCAAGTGTCGGATGCTTTGATTTTACGAGGTAATTGAAAGCCTTTTGAAAGTCTTACACGTGTGTAAAGAGCGACATGCGGCCATGCGGCCATGCGCGTGCCGCATGAAGAAGCCTTTGACGATGTGAGGCCTTGGGCACTCCTTGCACATCCAGAGTCTGCCTCGCGGGTTTGGGATACGAACGGCAAAGCTTCTTGCTGTTTTGGCTGTTTAGGGCTTGGGACTGCGGCCAGGCGCTATCCCCATTTCTGGGGCAGAGAGTACAGCTAGCTTAGAAGCTACATGGGCCCACATGGGCTCATGTGGATGCGTGAACAGGTGCAAAGCTCACCTATCATTGCGTGACAGAGGGAAACCAAGACACTGCGCGCTGCAGTATGCTTCATGTCTCGGCATGATTGAGAAGCGAGGTACGGTTCACCGGTCACTGAAGAGGTTCTCCGGTGTTTTTATGGGGAGAAGATGCATGTACTATGAGGTCCGAAGAGTTCTTTTCTCGGGAGATGTAGACAAGTGTAGACTCGGTGAAAGCCGGGCGGATCCCTGTGCCCTGTTTGAAACTTCAAGATTGAGGGGCGGTGTGCGTACTGTAGACCACCTGCATCGGTTTCCACACTCCCGCTGCTGCAGCACACTTCGGCCTAAGCTGCGCGGAGCAACGGGGCCTGCCCCAGTCGGGCCAACATTAAACATGCTTCTCCAGTTGTTGGCTCGTTTGAACCATGTGTGGTGTGTTCGGCAGCAAGCGGCAAAACCGCAACTGGTGTTCTAGGGGAGCACAGCAAAGATATCGGTATCAAACACACGGGCATAAGAGACCAAGGGCAGAGTGCAAAACAGCAGCTGTGCAGAGCGCCAGACCAGGAACAAATGAATTCATGAGATGTGCTCAAAAACCTGCCAATGAATTCCGCGCGCTCCGTGCCCTCTGCACGCTCGGTGCTTTCGTGGTGACGATCCTACTGGAAGATGTAGTCGGCAGCTCCGGTACAGGCACTCCGCATCTCGGCAAACACAGCGGGCGGGATCATCACAGGTGAACATGCTGAGCGTGCCATGGGTGCTGTTTACCAAGGGTGTCTTGCATTGGCGCTCCGATCGGTGAGCCCATCGTGTCATCACAAAACAAAAGGATGGAGTTGCGTTGTGCGCCGTGATGGCGGGCAACTGGTCGGGTCAGGTACCCCAATTGCCGGCATCAACACCCCGTATGGGATTTCCACGCCAGGGGCCCGCGTTATCGCTGTTTAGTACTACTACTACTACTACTACTACTACTACTACTACTACTACTACTACTACTACTCGGCTAGCGCTCCCACAGGCGCCTGGTCTGACGCATTGACGTCCTTAGGGAGAGACAGCATAAAGAACAAAGCCATCGACATCAAGGACACAAGGACATGGGCATCAGAAACCATTGGAGGATCTGCAGCGAAATTCACAATCAGCACCTGTAGGCCTGTTGTGTCAAGGACTTACGGCAGCGACTGAGGTCTTTGATTTGCTTCCTGAACCCTAAATCCCTGGATAGCTCTGGAATGCATCGGAAGTTTAGATCTTGAAAAGTTCGGCACTGGGGTTTAGGACATCAAGGTGTGAGGCTGTTGTCCAAGTCAACAGAGTTGTCGTACAAAGATGACAAAACGTCATGACTACAGCTACCCTCACTCATGGCCCCCATTCTTGTGCTTGTTTGTTAGTTTTCGGCAACGGTAGCGAGCGCAGCATAGCTCAGCGATGTCGGCTGCAAGACTAGTAAAATGCGTGGAGCAGCGTTTGTCCCAAGTTCTCTCATCTTGAAGGTGGGCGCAGCCACGAGCGAAGCAGCCGGATCAGCTGCAGCCGGGCCAACATTAAAACATGCTTCTTCAGTTGGGGGCTTGTTTGAGCTCTTGGGTGGTCGGGCTGCTTCTTGAACCATCCGGTTTCCACAAGACACAGCGAACTCACAAATTTGAGCGAGCCATTAGTATATAAATATTTTTTTATCGCCCCGGAATAATAATAGAATAATAAAGGGCGCATTCATTTCATTCACTACGCTAGTTCATGAATTGTCAACACTATATTAAATTATGAGGGCCTTTAGGACGGCATCATGAACATAATGAGCTCTCTTGACAAAAGGCCCTTGTTAATGTGCATTGGCGAACGAAGTGAAAGCGAAATTAGCGGCATGAACGAAGCGACCAACCTCACGGGCTTGTCCTGGTGTGCGAGAAGTGAAAGACAAGACAAAAGACAAGGTAAGCGGGAAATAAATGGCAATACACAAATAATGGCAGAAAGTTAGACCTGTGTATAGAAATGCAGGAATTTTCTCATAACCATACGAAACATATGAATCCATTCCAAACCCATCATGCGAGCAGTGTGGAGGGGTTGCGCGCAAGCCCCCAACTCGTTTTCAGCAGAGCACGCGTGTTCCAAACCCATCATGCAAGCGTTGTGTTTGCAAATGGGTGGGGGCCCCCCTCGCTATAATAAAGTAATATGAGTCCTTTCCATCATGCGAGGGGCTGCGTCTTACCTCTCCGCCTCCGCCAACACCCCCTCCCCCCCCGCTTTTTCAATCCGTAAAGAATATCGCGCTGTTAGTGAGGGCATTTCGGAGCCACACGAAGAAACAGGAGCACTATCGTTCACAGAATTAGGAGTCTGTAAGATGTCATAGAACTGTTCAACCCATCATGCAAGAGCTGCGACCCCCTGTTCTTATTCAGCAGCACAAGCTTACTTTAAAGCATTTCGCGCCATCAGCAGACGT